TCATCCTCACTTTTTTAGACATTTTACAAGTTTGTTTAAAAAGTTCTGTATTCCTCAAGAGATAAAAATAATTCTAAGGCTAAAATTTCTTAGAAAATTTTGTCTATTTTGAATTTAGAATACTTTTAACAGTGAAGAAGAGTACCAAAATCAATTTTGAATACTTGAGGGAGAAGGAGAAGAGGGACAAAAATGGAATTTTAAGGGTAATAGAGCCACATTTTATAAACTTTAGTGTGAATTTTAAAGTGGTATTTTGTTGAGTTTAAAATCCCCAAAAGAAAATGTCTTCAAAATATTGCAGAATAGAAGTAAAATGATTGTGCAAATAATATCTCTTGAATTATATTCTTTTATGTGGATTAATTTTTTACCCTAACTTATGGAATCCAACTTTAAAGGGAAGTTTATACCAATCATCTCATTAGAGGTGAGTGAAGATATGGAATTTCATTGATCTTATTTAGTTTTGTTTTGCATGTTAACTCTTCTAAAAAATTATTTTGAGATCAATCTTTCCTTAATGCCTAGGGTGGAATTCACAGAGTTATAGAAAAAGGTTCACCAGTTTCAAGCCATTACATGTACCCCTTTTACAAGGAATGTAGTTTAGAATTATAAATTAGAGCATAGTGTGTTAGCTAAATGAAATGGTTCACACGAATTGCTTCGAAGCCTGTATGTGAAGAAAGGTGCCCTTGCTGTAGTGTATGAACCTGGACTTGAATCTGAGTTTTACCTGTGTCCAGACAGCAGGGAAATTTCAGAGCTTTGGGGTTGGGCCTGCGTCCTGCGGCTAGGAGGAGGCGGGACTCCGATTGGTCCCCTGTCCAGCACCTCCCGGGCGCGCCGCTTGCCCCGGCTCCTCCTCCTCTTCTCGCCACTGCAGTTTGACCCAACAGCGGCTTTTGGGGGGAGACTCCGGTGGGCTGTGGCAGGAGGGAGGAGGCAGTGGTGGCTGCTGTCGGGGAAGGGGACGCCGAGAAGATAGTTGAAGTATTGGTAATACCAAGGAAATCTGTCACAGTTTGAAAAGCTAAGCAAAAGTTTGATTTCCGGACACTACAGAGAAAAGTGAAAATGGCATTGTACCATCACCACTTCACCAAGAGAGGAAGAAGGCGTCCAATGTGGATTTTTGTGAATGATGATCACCATGTGATGGCAAAGCATTCTTCGGTGTATCCAACACAAGAGGAGCTGGAGGCAGTGCAGAACATGGTGCCCCACACCAAGAGGGCTCTCAAAGCTGTGTCTGCCTGGATCGACGAGCAAGAGAAAGGCAACAGCGAGCAGGCCGAGTCTGACAACATGGATGAGGCCCCGGATGATGAGAGCAAAGAAGGGGCGGAGGAACAGAAGGCAGAGCACATGACCAGGACCCTGCGGGGCGTGATGCGGGTTGGCCTGGTGGCAAAGGACCTTCTCCTGAAGGGGGACTTGGATCTTGAGCTGGTGCAGCTATGTAAGGAGAAGCCCACAACTGCCCTCCTGGACCAGGTGGCTGACAACCTGGCCATCCAGCTTGCTGCTGTAACAGAAGACAAGTACGAGATACTCCAGTCTGTGGATGATGCCGCAATTGTGATAAAAAATACAAAAGAGTCCCCTCGGTCTCTGACCATTCACTTGACATCCCCCATTGTCAGAGAAGAGATGGAGAAGGTGCTAGCTGGAGAAACGCTGTCAGTCAACGAACCCCCCGCCCCCGACATTCTGGACAGATAGAAATGCCTTGCTGCCTCGGCGTCCCTCCAACACGCCAAGTGGTTCCAGGCCAGGGCCAATGGGCTGAAGTCCTGTGTCATTGTTATCCAGGTCCTGAGGGACCTGTGGATCCTCGTGCCCACCTGGGGTCCCCTCAGAGGATGGTCCCTGGAGCTCCGGAATGAGAAGTCCGTCGGCACAGCCAACAGGCCGATGGGCGCCGGCGAGGCCCTGTGGAGAGTGCTAGAGTGCCTGGTGTCCAGCATCGTGATGCCAGGTGGTTCTGGCATTTATGACTCTTGTGAAAAAGAAGCCACTGGTGCTATTGGGCATCTAGACAGACAGCAATGGGAAGATATCACACAGGGTGCGCAGCACGCACTGCGGCTCACTGCCTTCGGCCAGCTCCACAAAGTCCTGGGCGTGGACCCCCTGCCTTCCAAGATGCCCAAGAAACCAAAGAAGGAGAACCCAGTGCACTACATCGTTCAAATCCCTTCCAGCACCACCTACACCATTACCCCCACGAAACGCCCAGTGGAGGAGGACGGGGAAGAGAAGTTCCCCAGCAAAAAGAAGAAGATTCAAAAGAAAGGAGAAAGCTGAGCCTCCCCAGGCCATGAATGCGCTGATGCGGTTGATCCAGCTGAAGCCGGGGCTGCAGTACAAGCTGGTGTCCCAGACAGGCCCTGTGCACGCCCCCACCTTCACCATGTCCATGGAGGTGGATGGCAGCTCTCTGAGGCCTCGGGGCCCTCCAAGAAGACCGCCAAGCTGCACGTGGCTGTTAAGGTGTTACAGGACATGGGCTTGCCGACAGGTGCAGAAGGCAGGGACTCCAGCAAGGGGGAGGACTCTGCTGAGGAGACGGAGGCGAAGCCCACAGTGGTGGCCCCGCCCCTGGGGTGGAAGCTGTGTCGACCCCGAGCGCCACCTTCCCCTCGGATGCCACCACTGAGCAGGGGCCGATCCTGACTAAGCATGGCAAGAACCCAGTTAAGGAACTGAATGAGAAGAGGCGAAGCCTCAAGTACGAGCTCATCTCTGAGACCGGAGGCAGCCAGGACAAGTGCTTCGTCATGGAGGTAGAGGTCGACGGACAGAAGTTTCAAGGTGCTGGTTCAAACAAGAAAGCAGCAAAGGCAGACGCTGCTCTCGCCGCACTTGAAAAGCTTTTCCCTGATGCCCCTCTTGCCCTCGATGCCAACAAAAAGAAGAGAGCACCAGTCCCTGTCCTAGGCGGACCAAAATTTGCTGCCAAGCCACACAACCCGGGCTTTGGGATGGGCGGCCCCATGCACAATGAGGCGCCCCCGCCCCCCAACCTCCGCGGGCGAGGCCAGGCTGAGGATTTGGGGGCCACAACCACCGAGGCTACATGAATGTTGGCGCCCAGTAGGGAAGCTGTGGGTACAGTGGCAAGTTGGTGACAGCAGGCTACAGTGGCTCTTTCACAGACTGCTATGGCTCTCATGATGCTGAGTCTTCCTAGAACGTCTAAAAGTATTGCACACAAAATCAACTTTTTACTCCAGTTTCCTCCAACTCCAAAACCCAAAGTGTCCGTGCTTCACTGGGTTTCTCAACCATGGCTTTCCACCGCAACTTGTCTGAAACTCTTAACCTGGAGAATTTAATTTAAGACAATGGCAGTTTTTATCGTGATTTGCCTTCGAACTTGGTCATATTGAAGTTCACACTAAGTGGAAAACACTTTTCTCAGACAATGTATTTTTGTGCAGACTTGCACAGAATTCTAGAGCCAACGTTGTTCAGCATCAAGGCCTACCTTTGCTTTTTATGGAAAGCATTACATTATTTAAAGAGACAGTTAATGAAGCATTTTAATCTACCTTTGTCTTAATTTACAGCAGGTTTTGTATGAATTTTTAACCTTTTAACAAACTCCCAAATCTAGTTGATGCCTTTGACAGTGATGAAAATTTCACCACATCTGAATCCAGAGCAACTGACTTTCTTTTTAATTAAACGAGCATGTAAAATGTTGGGAATGGGGGGAATTGTATGCTGTGCTGAGTTACCTCCTCCCACCTTTGTAATACTCTGGTGGGTTCTTATTTGGGAAGCAGTATTTTGTGGCTGGTTTAGCTAGAAAGTGAACTCTCAAAGGTATCAAAACTGTGCTTCCATTACCTGTGCGAGAAACAGCCTTTAAAGGGCAGAAAACATGAAATTTTGCAAGTCAGGATCACAGCTGCAAGTGCATGGAATCTGGATTTTTTAAAGTGGGGCTTTAAAAATACTCAAGTAGAAAGAGCCTGGCCCATCCACAGGTCTGCGAGAGAAGAGCTGCTGCAGGCTTCGGCAGGGCCAGGGTGCTGAGCTCAGGCCACAGGCTCCAGTGGCCTCGACGCCTCTCCTCCATTGCTTGCAAGGGCACCAGACATGGTGGCTCCTAGCTGAGATCATCTGGTTGCATGGCCCTCGGATGCTGGGGTTTAGCTTCTGCTCAGCACTCATTTTCACAGCAAAGCCTGCATCTGTGTTGACTTGCAAGATTTTGTGTTTATTCAGGCAAAAACTGGTCAAAACGGTTGCTGTGTGATTTGTTCCCCAAGGTTTGAAACATTCAGTGAAACTTTTTAAAACTGATTGCATGATGTATTTTTTTTAGAAAGTTATTGATTGAGAATAATGTCTTTTTATATTAGGAAATAGTTATCCTGAATGATGTTGAAAACTTCTCCTCTTTATTTTTTTTTTTAATCAATACATGTTAAAGTAACAAAACAAAACAAAACAAAATTTCAGGGCTTTCAGGGCTGAATTTCACAGCAACAATTCTTTTAAAAACTGAAATCATTTTCTCAGAAATGAAAACGTGGCTTAGTGGTAGAGTGTTAGCTTGGCATGTGTGAAGCCCTGGGTTTAGTGTCCAGCAGTGCAAAAAAAAAATCATTTTCTCATTTAGGAAGTGAACATGTACTCAGCACTACAAATATTCCACTATTTATTGACCAACAGGAGATGCCTGAAAAGGCTCAATTGATTATATTTCTACAGAGGACTTATTTCAGAAAGCTGAAGATGCATATTAAATTATTTGCAGTTGCTATCTGCTTACTTTTATTGGATTCTATTGGGCCTCCAATATACTCATTCCATAAACATGAACAAAAGTATATAGCTGAGGTCTAAGTAACTAAAATGACATTTGCAAATATGTTTGGCATGGGAGGATATATAAGCTAGTTGGTAAAACTGAAGTCCCCAAGAATCAACAGTACAGTAGAACTTAGAGCATAACCTGAAATACAGTTTCACATACTCACTGGTAAAATGATTAGATGTGGACAGATAGACACTATCAACACACTCAGCACTGTCACAGCTAAAAACATCATCATCTGATTCTTGCACAGAAGAGCAGGTTGAGGAGATGTCGACTTCTTCAAACTTCCTCTTTAAGAGTCCGCTCATAGCTGCAGCCCTGTCACATGTACCTGTAACAGGAACGGGAGCAACGGAGCATTGAAATAGTTGACCACTGACTGTATAGTCAAGGTCTTAAAGGCTTTTCAAGGACAGTAATTTTTTGAAACATACTGACCACACTATCATATCTCTGCAGAAACTATTCTCCCTATCATGTTGGAAACCACAGAAACCTGTCCTATCCTGATTCATGCTAATTTTCATTTTCAGTCTAGCAACAGTGTTTTTTAAGACAAAAATCAAAATTAAGAATGTGGAATAGAGTGCATAAGGAAAAACAGTTCAGTGTTTTGAAATGTCAAAACAGGAGTCAAATACATTTATTTGATTTGTTCTGGTAAATCGTGTACTGTCATTGACAGGGGCAGAGTTCAGAACAAAATAGATCACTTGCTTGCATGCTGTCATACGCAGAGCATACTGATTAGGGTATGTCTATCTTGCTGGGGATTTCTTTTTTCTCAGGTACAAAGGCATCTACTTTCCTGGGGCTCTTTGTCCATCAAAAATCAAATTGGTTGCTAGGAAAGGCTCTACTGGCAGAATTTAGATGTCTTATCATGTTTCCAGTCAATTCAGCAGAGCTACAGGGAATACTCCAGTCCTATGGCAAGGAGGTTGGCTGAATAGATTTTATACATGGGAAGCCACAGTCCCCAAATCTTTTGCTGCATAAAACATTAATTTAAGCCTCTTCACTCTCTGAATCAATATGATCAGTAAAAGTCAGATACAGCCTGATGCATCTTTTAGAAAAATTTGTTAGTGTCAAATGAGATGAATCATTGAAATCTGAGAGTAAAAATTTCTTCACAGCTATACAGAAACAGTGAATATGATCAGGGATTGCAAAAACACAAATTCTTGCAGTGGCAAGAAACCTCAATGAGTAATAAGGTCAGATGTAATAAAATCGTAAAGTCCTTAGTCTTCTTTTTGTCTATTATTTGTAACAAAGGTACCAAGAATACTTTTAAATTATAACATAAGCACAATAATAAATGACCTCATGATCAAGGAGAGAGTACGTAGTGTGAACTGTGGTGAATGAGAAAATGCAGATAAATCCAGGCCAAAGAGTGGAATGACTACACAGATCCTGGTCATTTTGGCTCCATCTTTTCCCGGTTAAATCTACTCTGTAGAGAGTAAATTAATGTTTTGGTGGCTATACTTCCTTGGGCCCCTTCTGCTGACCAGCTGTCTCTGTTTCTGAATTTTTTGTTTCCCCATGTGTCAAGCTGGCACACACACATCTGCCTTTACCTACTTGTATCCTGCCAGCCTCAACCCTCAGCACCTGTGACTCATTTTTTCTTGTTATTTGCTTTCCCAGGGATTCTGAATGTTCTCACTGGTCACACGCCATTCTACAGAAGGGAGGTCCTTGACTACCTTTTGTTAAGAGGCTTTTCATTACTTATTTAGTAAATATCTGTTGAGCTTCTCTAAGATTCTGGTGACTATATTTGATACTGGAGAATGCTATAAAAGCAATATACCAAAAAATACTCACTTACTAGAATTTATTGGAGAAAGTGTAAACAAACAATAAACAGATAAAAAGTTAAATGTATAATACATCACAGAAGTACTATGGAGTTAAATGATGGAGTGAGTTAGGGCTAGGGCACCATATAGAAAAACCTTTTGGTGAGCTAATGTCACTGTGTGGAGGTCCACTTGGAGGAGGTGATAGATCCAGCAGAGTGGACTTCTGAAGAAATAGTAGTCTGAGACAAAGGAATGCTGTGTGCCAAGGCCTTGAGAGGGTACAGCAGATGATGAGGTCAGACAGGTGCCCAGGGTTAGACTGGATAGGATCCTTAAGGACTCTGGCCACTTCTCTGCAGGATGGTAGCTTCTGCAGGGTTTAATTGGTAAAGTATTGATCTGGCTTATATTTTTAAAGGACTACTTATCTTTTTATTTCATAAGAAAAGAGGCTTTATCGTAAGGGAAAGTACATTTGATGGAAAAAGACAAAGGTCTAGAATTTAGAAAATACCTAGAGAGGACTTAATGACTCAAATAAGTAGCTAAAGTCAGAAAGCCTTACCTGAAATAGGCAATGGTTTCCTTACAGAGCAGAAGAGAATTAAGAAGTTAGAAAAAAAAAAAAAGAAGTTAGAAGAGGAGAAAGGTCAAAGTTGTTCCTAAAGCAAGGTGATTACTTTTTTACCCAGGTCTACCTCTGGTCTTTAGATTTACCAATTGTTTGATATGGTAGAGACATCTTACTTGCTAGATTTCCAGCAGCACTAGATTCATGGACCTTATACTTCTTTTTAGTACTGTTTTGTCAAATAAAAAGAGGTAACAGAAAAGTAAGCTTTCCTCTATGACACTAAGGAAATATTTCATTTAATTTGGTAGAAAAAGGCAATATATGGGTGGTAGTCATTGTCATGGATTTATTTGTGGATGAGAAATTGAAAGCAGGGTTAATAACTATTTTACCCACCAAGTTCCCTAAATTTAGTTATTCAAGATTTTAGAGGCCAGGGATTTAGCTCAGTGGCACTGTGCCTGCCTCGCAAGTGCAAGGTCCCAAGTTTGATCCCTGGTACCGAAAAAAAAAAGATTTAAAAAAATTCAAATACAACACCACTACTTGCTCCTGCAGCAATTACAGGACTTTGGCTCTGTGTTGACTTGTTTCATTGAAAGCTAAGTGTTTTGCAGCTTTAAAACTCTCTTAGAAGTCTAATGTAACTTTTATTTACTTAGAGGAACTTTCTTATCTTCAATGACTTGTGGGGATTTTAGAAGTATTGTAGAAAATCTTGGAGAGACTGAAAGCTAGTGTAGATTCTTTTAACAAATCTTGTACCTTAGTTGTAGAAAACTATTTAGAATTATTGCACTAAAAAGTATTTAATTGATTCCTTTGTTTGATATGAAGTAAATACAAATAATTTGTGTCAAGTTTTTAGATTCATTCATATTTATACTGCTTGGCCCTGGAGGCTCCAAAGGTTCTTTTTCAGTCATTAGAGGGAAAACCGAACTATATGATTACATAACTGAGTAAACACAAAATTGGAGTGGAAAAGAAGTCCCATAGAATCAGAGAGATTTTCATTCTACTTTGTTTTCACCAATCTGATTCCATTTTAATACACTCTAGGTTGTATTACCCAAACTGCCACATGATAATTACTTCCATGACAATGGAAGCAAGACCATACAGGACAAAGTTGTGAGGAAGATGAAGACATAACTGCAGTTCAGATGTCTGCAGTAGTAAGTAGAAGGGAAGACAAGTAAGAGAGAAGGTAGTTATTATGAATGCTCTTAAAAGAGTGTGTCTTGGGCCGGGGATTTAGCTCAGTGGTTGCACTGCCTGGATCACAAGTGAAAGGTACCAAAAAAAAAAAAAAGTGGGTCATATCCACATAGTCAAGTGAAAGCAATCCTTAAATGATAATAAATACCATCCTCTTAACTCAGCATCCTGTTTTTGACAGTACATAGCTGGAAGAAACATCTATTTTCTAGCACCAAAAATTGCAATATTTGCTATGTATTTGTCAGAGGTCAGATGTTTCTGAATCCCACTTCGATGTTTCCTAAGAAAGTCTCATGTTTCCAAGGTCCAGATATGCTTCTCCTGTGTACAAAAATTCTTTCTGACAGGTATATAAAATGTAATTTTTACTGGTACTTCTAATATGAAAATAGTTACAGTATGCATGTTTATCAAACAGACTGCAATGGTGTGAACGATTGTGTTCCTCTAAAATGCGTACTAAAATCCTGTCACCTAAGGTGATAGCATTAGGAATTGGGGCTTTACGGAGGTAATTAAATCATGAGGGTAAATTAGTGCCTTTCCAAGAGTCCCCCAAAGTCATCTCTCATCATTCTGCTGTGAAGTTACAGTGAAAAGAAACTAGAACTGTAGACCTCATCAGACACTGAATCTGCCAGTTTCCCTTCTGCCATGTGAGGTGATAGCAAGACTCTGATCTATAGCAATCTGAGGCAGCTTGTTAAGGTATGTTTTTATCTGGTCAAGTGACTAGTTCTTGACAAAAGCCTACTTCATATTCCAGAAGGTGTATGACTTGATTAAAATGACATATGCAATTTAATAAGCTGTGATTTTTTCATTTATAACATGAGTATGTCCCTTTGACATTTTTTGTTTTTCAAATCCATATGTTTTGTTTTATTTGCTTTTTATTTTTGTGTTTAAGGCTATCTACTATTTCATTGAACAGTTATGCCACAATATTTAACCAAACTTCTAAACAGAAAAGCTTGGTTTCTTTTCATGCATTTGTTAGGAATCACAAGATAATTAACATCTTCTTTCAGGTTTTTGTATCTCTGATTATATGTTTAGGACAAATTCTTAGAAATGGAAATATTGGATTACCCAAACACATTGCCAATTTGACTGCCAGAAATGTTCTGCCAATTTGTATTTCCTTAATGGTGCACTGGAGCATGATTTCACCACACCTTTGGCAATGCTGTGATTTTTAAAACTTGTTTTTGAAACTCTGCCATCTATTCAAAATAATAATTATGGTTAACACATGTATAGTGCTTATCTGGTGCCCGGCACTGTTTTAGTACTTAACACATGTAGCAGGCAGGATTCTAAGATGGCCCCTGATATTACCTGTGTCCCGTAGTACATGCCCTGCACCCTGTATAACCCCAGGATTGTGAACATGGTGAGATACAACCCCAGGTATTATGCTCATGTTTGTATGGCAAAAAAGAATTTTGCTTATGAACTAACCTGGTAGGCTAATCCAAGTGGGTCTGGGCTAATCACATATATCTTTGAAATCAGTCTAGTGGTCAGATACTGAGAATGGGAGGCATTCACTGTGATACAGATTCCTTGTGTAATGTTAGAAGGGATTACACACACGACAAGAAATGTATAAGCATCTTGAAACACAAAATAGCCCTTAGGTGATAGCAAGGAGGAAATAGACAACCCGAGTCCTACCATCCTAAAGAGTTGGACTCTGCCAACAGCAAGACT